AATATAATCGACTGTATGTACTTTTACTCCAAAATTAATTTCATTATTAAATCGCTCTATTTATTTTCAAATTTTCAAAGCTAAATGCATGACTATACGTTGGGTATAGTTATAAGTATTATTGGATTTTTTTTTTGCTCAAATATAAGTTGAAGGTGCAATTGAAGTGGACTATAAAGATTAGAAAAATTTCGCTGTTAGAAAATTTTATTATTTTTCTACACGAATATTCACACATCTCCGGTGTATTTATGCAATTAAATACGAGGGAAATTAGATAAGTACGACGATAAATGAACTCGCTTATAAAGCAATTTTGTCGATCTGCAAAATGGTAGGCCCTGGTCTTTTTCTTCTGTATATAATACGCGAAGGGATTATTTGTCTAAGTCATCATATCTGCACATATTTATTAAATGGGCTTATGCTGTAGATGTGAAGCCACTTAACCAGTGACTTCATAGAGAGCATATGTCATCTAAGCGACCGTATAAAATATATATAAAAAGCTTTAGAAAGTTTCATCCTCGGGTTATCTTTGGTCGTGACTCACTGAACAGAATTTCGCAATTTTTTTGAAAGAAGCTTCGCTTAAACTTGACGTTGGTCATACCTTGTCAGAGATCGTTTCGCAGAAAAAAAAATACCACTGCCTTAAGGTTAAATTAGTGGTGACTTAATCATAACCCTATAAAACAGCTGTTCAAACCAACCTTATGGCCAACACTGTATTCGATTAGTGGTGCCACACCATAACGCCATAACCATAATCAGCTGATATCTGAAGTGCGAGTAAGAACGTGTTGCCGCCAGACGTTAAAAAAAATATTGTTGACAGCCAATGTTTTAGCATTAGTCTAGAAAATGAACCATTTAGCTATTCAAAAACCAAACCAGAACTTCTCACGCTAATTTCAACCTGTACCAATATTATTTGGCGCAAAAATGGGAAGAAGATATAAAAGTTTAAATTAAAATTTTTTGATTTTTTAAATAATAATATACTATGAACTACATAACCGATTAAAAAACTAATGATGCAAAAATAAAGATAGTTATTTTATCATATGCACTTAGCATAATTTATATGCTTTTTTTATTTTTAATTCAGAAATACCAAAAAACGAAAAAACATCCTATTTTTTCATAAAATAACCTTTTTTGAAAAAATTCCATGATTAATGCAAAATAAATTTATATGTACAAGAAAGTACAAGTCCGACATTTAAAACATAATTTGAAGCTTATTTAGCGTAATTAATAAAAAAAAATGATTGATGAAGATTTTAGAGAGCCCCTACCAAGGTCTTTGATCGGAGTTTGATATTCAATGTTCTTTTTGGCATTAATACTATTTGAAGGCATATCAACTGGATAAATAGATGTCGGCATAAGAGAAGCTAAGTAACTGCGAAGTCTTTAGGCAACAAGAGGTAAGATCTCGTACTAATACCTATTTACAGTACGTTTAATGTAAATAAAAGTGTAATTGTTTCATTCAAATTGAAAATCGGTCGCATAATATATCGGACAATGATAAAAAGTGCTTATTGCATTATTTATTCACTTTTTTCTCATAGTGTTAATGCATATCAAACTTTTCCTGTTTGTATGTAAAGAAAGGTCGTTAAGAAACTCTGAAAATGCGAATCTGAACAATATAGTAGGTCCAACATTATTCATAGCATTTTTAGGTCACTACTATGGAAAGTTAAACACCTCGTGGATAGGGAAATATCCGTTTGTATGTACATAAGTAATGAAAACACGTGCACTACTCTGAAATAAAGTGAATCTACACTCACATATGTATATACATTAGACTGCATCACTCCCCATTCAAAAAAAAAAATCGGTACTATTTTTCCATTGGAATTATAAAATCTATTATATTTTAAGACGTCCAGCAAAATATTTCGGAAAAATATTAAGATTTAAGTGAGCTGGACCGATTTGAAAATACCTCCAAAAATGGAGTTTTTTATGAATGAAAATAGTTTCTTAAAGATTTTTTTTGAAAAATTCCCCTCAAATGACAAAACGGTTTAAGCTTAAAATATTAAAAAAAAAATTAAAAAAAAATTTGAATGGAATCGTAATGATGATGCAGTTTTTTAACTTTTTTCAAAGACTGGTATAGGAAAAACTGAACCTAAACTCTTCCGATTTAGACTTAAGAGGTGTCAATGGAAAGGTATTTTCTCACCCTTTTTATTTCTTTGCTAATAAACACATTCAAATGATGGAACGAAATCAGAACGTTTTTGGCCCAGTTATTCAAGTTTTTCGTAAACCAATCTTTGAAAAAAGTAAAAAAAACAGTATCAAAAATTTCAGTCTTACAATTCCGTTGAAAGG